AAAGAGCCATTGTTGACCAAAATCCACCAAGAATCAAGAGTGGTTACAGTTAGGTAGGGAGCTAGGCCCAGTAAGAATCTGCTTTTACACAAACCCTTACTTGCCTAACTGATTAAGTTTCTCTCTTGCCGATGCTCTATCATATAATACTGCTCTGATGTTCGATTTTCCTTTTAAAGAAGCAGAACTAATTATTTGTGTAACTTAAATAGGAGGGAAAAAAAGGTGTTTGTTACAGATTCCAATTCCCTCTCTCCCAAAATTAAAACTATATTTATTGGAAAATCCATGTGTCCTTTGTTTTCTCTTTTTTTTTTTTTTTTTTTTTTTTTTTTTTGGTTTAGGTAGAAATGCATAAATCCTCCGAAAATAATTACCACCTAATGATACTTTTCCCACCCCTAGTTTCTCATGAAAACTTTATGTATGATCACTTCTACTTATTTTAGGATTTATCATAATAAAACTTTAGAACAAAAATGATTTCCATTTTTTATCTGGACTTTAGCAGTGACAACAATACAATTATCACATTAACTGTTGGATATTAGTGTATTAGGACCTTTCTCATCGTTTTCGACAACTCTCTAATATGTGTGTAATGGAATGTGTCAAATGGGACAGGAGATCTAACATTTTCTTTATATTAGTGAATCCTTAGCCTCACTCATTATAGGATTTAGAATTTCCTATATAAGCCTACACAGTACCCACATAGAATATTGAAGTTTAGCTCACTTTATTAGTTCATATTATAGACTATAATATTATATCATTATCCAAAATAAATTAACTTAGCCTCATTTTAACAAAATACAAAAAATAAATAATGTAAGTCCACACTTTAATTATTTGCAAAAATCTAATATCTCCTTGTAGAATCCTAAATATTCCCTTACCAAAACATGTTTTTCCGATAGTGACCCTGCATTCAAATTGCAGTATACACAAAAGAATTATGAATTTTAAAGTTATAGTTACAAAAATTTGAAAACCATACAAGACCTTGCATTCAATATTAATTCAAGTAATCAACAAATACCAACAATTAATTATTACAATAATGATTTATTACATCTCTAAATCCATATTTTCATGTTTCAGACATAACATTAATTAGAAATGAAGTTACAATTTTTTAGAGTTCGAAATCCAAACTGAAGTTGCTCTGACTCCAATTAAAAACCTTATGTATAATTAGTAATACTTAATAGATGTAAACCCAAAACAAGTTGGTTAACTCATCTAACCTAGAGTTACGAAGTTATGACTTAAGAGACGCAAGAGGGTTTTGACGTTAATGGTAGAATTAGTGACTGACGTTAACGTGGAATTTGCTTAGAAGTGTGTTTCTTTTAGAAGGAAGGTGGCACATGACATAGAGAGACCCATTTGTAGAGCTTTTGGACTCCACCAATCATTGGTGTATCAGATGAATTCATAATTTTTTTGAATAATAAATGACTTGATCATTATCAATGCAAGCTCTTCAAATTAAGACTTCCATGAAAGGGAAAACGCCATACTTAACCTTTCAACCTTCACATAAAATTTTTCTATATTTTAATTTAATGAAAGTCAATATTGAAATGAAAATTTGCAACTAAATCAGAATTGTTATGATATAATACATAAAAAACATCTCGTATTTCTTGTATTATATTTAATCAAGTTTTTATACTTGCACTTAAGCATTTGGTTCATTGATTGGTGCACTATTACCTACTTAAAAAGCAGGGTTCGAATTCTTCCTCTCTTAATTATATAAAAAAAAAAGTTTTTATACTTTTTTTGAGCCAAACAAATCGTTATGACTAATGGTTGACGAATTATTATTAGTTAAAATGTCACTTGTCATTTGATGTCACGTGACATTAACATGTTATGTTAAAATTTCATAATAGATGATGACGTGACTTACAAATGTAACATGATTACGTAATTATAAAATATTTTCACTTTTCACATCAATCTCACATAAGTATTAAATGAAAACTAAGATTTTTACTTATGATAATTAATCAACATTTAGTTATAAAGGCTGGTTTACCCAAAATAAATGTATAAGGACTAGAAGAATAAGGGTTTATTTACATTTTTTAAAATAATTTAGGGGTTTTCTCAAGCATTCAACCAATTATTATATACTGAGAGATGAGATACAAAAGCATTAGAAATATATTTGGAAAATTTTAATCATTAATTTAAGGATAAAATACCTCCAACTCTCTAAGTTTTAATCAAAATTTCAAGTAGTTCAATTAGTTTTCGAAATAAATACTCCGTTTCACAAAAAATCTTTCGCTAAACACATAAGTTTAGTCATTAGTCAACTTTTAGTGTTTTCGTTAATTTAATGACGTGATAATATTGAAATGAAAATTATATTCTTTATAAATTTTAAAAATAACTATTATATAATTGTTACAAATTAAAAAAAAAAAGAAAGCACTGTTCGTGATTAGTGCTCCCTTTCTCTTAGGGAGCACCGACCTTTCTTTGGGAGTAAGGGAGCACCGATTGATGCTCCTTTTTTTTTTATTTTTTAAAAATATAATAGTAATTTTTTAAATTAATAAGGAAAAAGGTATTTTAATTCTTTCATCATTTCTGTTAACGATGTTTACACTTTTTGGATGATATGTCTATTTCAAAAACTAATAAACTCGCTTGAAATTTCGATTAAAACTTAAGAGTGTAAAAATATTTTACCTTTGATTTAAGTATATATGTATAATATAATTTTTAATGAAATTTAGTATTCTAATTTTATAATTAAATGGATAGATGAAAAACAACCCTAAACTCTTAATCCTTTTATGGACATTGCCAAGCATAAGCCCAGCATTCATAAAATTTTGGATTAAGTAAATATCTTTTTACCCATTTAAGATGAAAGAAAAAGGCAAACACTAAACTAGAACCTTAAATATATATATATATGTATATTTAATAAGTATAACTGTTGATTTGCAAATATTATATAACTTAATGCATTACATAGATAAAAATATTTTTTAAAAATAATTATTCTTAGTATAAGTATTTATAAATTGGGCTCCCAAGTCAAATCTCAAACTTGACACAATTCAGTTAATTTTGAGTATAATCTCTGTCTTTGAATTTTAACCATAATTCATGTGAATCCATTAGTATTCGAAATGAACAGTTCACCCTAAAAGAATATCTTTCACTAGATATATTTCGTTAGACATATAAGTCTAACCATTAATCAACAGTTAATGTTTCTATTAAGTTTGAAGATGTGGCAATATTTCTCAGACAATTTTACTCTTCATTAATTTTAAAAATTATCACACTATATAAATTATAATTTTTTATTTTTAAAATTTTTTCTCTCCTATTAGAAAAAATTCTTTCAATCTTACTTTGTTAGAATAAGCCCTACAAGCCAATCTGTAGTGATATGGGAATTGCAATTTTGAGATATTCATATATGACATTTTGTAATTCATAATAACATTGAGGTAGTTTTTTATCCATAAGTTTGTGATTTAATTACTTTTTGTACTTACGTAGATAAACCCTATGGAACTATATATGCCTTGCAAAAGAATTATATTGGGATACAATTATGAGATTCTTATGCATCAAAGCATTGTTCCTAAAAGTTCTTGATCATTATATTATTAAGACAGGGCATCAATAATGCTTAAAGATTAGTATATGTTATATTCCTTACTTATGAAGTGAGCAATCGTTCTTATAAGTTGAAATATAGAAATACTTGAAACTAGCATGTGAGTGCTTGCCATGGAAGAGTGAGTTCACTAAACACGACTAGTCATGAGAAGTGCATTTGATACCTTACTCAAGTGTCTATGCAATACTTTTCGTGTGTCGTTATGTAACTACTCCTTAAACTTGAGATACTAAGTTATCTTATATGTGGTGTACTATGCTTTGATTTCATCCTTATAGATGTCAAACTAAATATGCCAAAACAGGATGTTTTTGAGTATAGTATGAAGCACATGAAGGCAAATGGGTGGTCAAAATAGGAATCATCACTTCAAGTGATTCAAGGGGAAATATCTCATTAGTTCTTGGTTGACATTAGCTTAATCAAATCCTTGGCCAAGGTGATTAGGAAATTATGAAATGAGTTTCATGAGTCTCTATAAAGCTAATGATCTAACTGTAGGAACAAATATGAAGATTAATAGGAGTAGGTACTGTACAAAACTCTTATCATCTCCAAGATATATGATGAAGAAATGAATTATACTAAAAAACTGTACATTGAAAGGTTGTCAAAGAATCCTTTGACTCTCCTAACAATTTAATGGCCATGATGTATTGCTAAAACCAATCATGGTTTATCGAATTGAATTAGGTAATTTAAAATTGAATATAACTCATTTAAATTAATTAATAATATTATAATTCAATTCCATTGTCAACATGTTAGAAACCTAATGGATTACACACAAAGGTTGCAATTTGGATTAAATTGAGAATGTGATGATTTAAGTTAGACTTAAATCAAATTTTAGATTTTAACTACTAAGGATCTAATTAAAAGAGTTTAATTAAGTATTGGTTAAATATTATAATTATTATAATATTAAAGCTCTTTAGAAGAGCACAGGATCTAGAGGTTGCGTAGCCAAATCACACTCTCCTTGGAGGTATTCGATCGAATCTAGTATTTATGGTCAGATTCAGTCACAAGGTGGTTGGTCTTACTAGCTTACTTGAGAAAAAAATAAAAAAAAAATATTTTAGATATTTCACGTTTATTTGTCTGAGAGGAATTGTTTATTTCAAATTCTAATAACTTTGTATAAAATTATGACTAAAACTAAAAAGAATCAAAGTATTTTTCCCCGTTTAAAAGGGGAGACTCAGATGTCACGTGCGGTCTACGAGCACCTCTTCCTCTTACACACTGTTTTGGGAGACGAAAGCAAAATTGAAAATATTCCATCGAGAAACAAATAGAAAGAAAATTACCCACTTTATTTTTGGAGAAAACCAAAATAAAAAAAAAAAACCCTATAACCGGTAAAGGGACTGGTATGCCTTTTCAGTTTCCAACACAATGTCCCAATTAACAATCCAATGACTAAATAATAATCCCTTGAACCTCATCCTTCGAAAACCAGTAAACAGGAACCAGTCTCTTTCAACTTCTTCATTCTTCACCAACACAAAAAATGGCAGAAAAGAGAGAATATGTGGTAATGTTCCCCTTCATGGCACAAGGCCATATCATTCCTTTCCTAGCATTAGCCATTCACATAGAAAAAACAAGAAACTATAAAATAACCTTTGTCAACACCCCTCTTAACATCAAGAAACTAAGATCATCCCTGCCTCCAAACTCCTCTATCCAACTCCTTGAAATCCCTTTCAATAGTTGCGATCACGGCCTCCCTCCAAACACTGAAAATTGTGATGTTGTTCCTTACCAATGTGTCATTCGACTTCTTGAAGCTTCAGCTTCTCTCGGGACTATTTTCAAAGATCTTATTGAAGATATCATACAACAGCAGGACGGCCAACTCCCGCTTTGCATAATTGGAGACATCTTTTTTGGGTGGATGGCTGGAATTGCTCAGGAGCTTGGCGTGTTTCACGCAGTGTTTAGTGGGGCTGGTGGGTTCGGTTTGGCTTGCTATTACTCCATCTGGCTAAATCTTCCTCATAAGGGAGTAAAGGCAGATGATCACTTTTTGCTGCCAGATTTTCAAGAAGCTTCAAAGATACAGTTCACCCAGTTGCCTATAACTATGTCAAAGGCAGACGGGAAAGATTCTTGGTCAGTTTTCCATGGTAAATATCTGCCAGAATGGGCTAACTCTAGTGGGATTTTGTTCAACACAGTGGAGGAGTTCGATCATGTTGGATTGACGTATTTTAAGCGAAAGCTAGGTACGCCAGTCTGGCCAGTCGGGCCAATATTGTTGTCAATCGAAAACAGAGCACGTGTTGGCAAAGAGGCTGGAATCACACCTGAGTTTTGCAAAGCATGGTTAGATACAAAGCCTCAAAATTCAGTGTTATATGTCTCTTTTGGATCTATGAACACCATCTCTTCATCACAGATGATGCAGTTAGCCAAAGCCTTGGAGGTAAGCGGCAAGAATTTTATTTGGGTTGTCAGGCCTCCCATAGGGTTTGAAATAAATTCAGAATTCAAAGCCGAGGAATGGTTGCCTGAAGGATTTGAAGAGAGAATTAGAGAGTCAAAGAAAGGGTTGGTAGTGCATAAATGGGCACCCCAACTGGAGATTTTATCCCACAAATCTACATCTGCTTTCTTAAGTCACTGTGGATGGAATTCTGTGCTTGAATCACTCGGTCACGGTGTGCCATTAATTGGGTGGGCTATGGCGGCTGAACAGTTCTTCAATGTGAAGTTCTTGGTGGAAGACGTAGGGGTTTGTGTGGAGGTGGCTAGAGGAAAAACTTGTGAAGTTAAGCATGAAGATATCGCAGCGAAGATTGAGCTAGTGATGAGTGATTGCGTGAAAGGAAAGGAGATGAGAAGGAAAGCTTCTAAAGTGGGGGAGATGATCAAGAATGCCATGAAAGATGAGAAAGGTTTCAAGGGTTCTTCTGTCAAAGCGATGGACGATTTCTTCAACGCAGCGAGGACAATGAGGGGACAGAATGATCAGAAGCAACAAAAGCGGGGGGACTCAAAACTTGAAAGAGTCAAAAAGGGTTTGATATGCACAGAGCAGCAAGTTAAAAATGTTGGATGAGAACTGGAGCTGAGAATTATTAGGTGATTGTCTTGTCCCTTGAAAAAATTCAAGGCTGGAAAAACGAGTACTCCCTTGTTTCAAGTTTCAACATCTCTCTTTTCTTATTTCAGTATCAGCTTTCTCCTCTATAAACATTTTTTATCACTGCTTTTTCCTTCTTTATTTTCCGGTTTGTTTACATGCTTGTAAATTTCCTATTTGGTGAGGCATGCACTTCCAATACTACTCATTTGAACCCCAAATGAACCTGGTCCAATATTTGACGGATGAAGAGACCTGACATCTGAACGACTAGGGTGCATGGAAGAGTGCCAATAGGGAATCAACTTTTCTCTGTTCTTGAAACTTATATATGATCCCCAAGAGTAATATCCAAGGATAGTAGCCAGTTGGTACAATATTGACGAATGATTTTCTTATTTTGTTTTTGGTACATGTATAAGTTGGACTACAACAATATAAAGACAAATCTCTTTCATATCATAAACTTTGTTGTTCTCATTTTATATTTGAATTATGTCTTCAAATCACAGTTTCAAACTCTAATATTTTGATGTCCCCTTGGAGACTTTTCGACTTCGTGCTCACCGAAACAGTATTTTCAACAGCAAAAACCGATGATTGCAAAAAGGAGCGATAAAGCTAGCATATATAAGGACACATGCATGAATCCTTGTGGACGAAAAGAAGACGTATGTCCCGGTTCCATGCGATGCACGACTTCTTGCACACCCTGTCCTTAAAGTCCCTGCCTACATTGATAAAAGTTGCATCCAGCCACTAGGCTATTCGATCTATCTGTTCACACTTACCACACATCAAAGAAGAAGGAAAAAAGGTTCAATTATAGGGTTGTTTAACATAAACTACATAAACTGTTGCGGCACCAAGTTAAGTCTTTCTAGTTTCCGCTCTTGTTTCTGTTTCTTTGTTGCCTTGGTTAAAAAAGGTCGGCTTGTTGGTTGCTACTTGCTAGTCCAAAGCAGGAGCCATGAAGTTTCTCTTGTGCTCTCTTTGGACCCTCCGCCAAGAGAAAGGCCAGATGTTATCCTTCCAATCAGTGGGGAAGTTATGGTTCCATCATAGTTAAACTTTGCTTTGGATTCTACCGCCGAGTACTGTACTGATTAAAAATTTGATACGTCAAATAAAAACAACTCTAAAAAGTGATACCTTGAGCCCCCACCTCAGCTCCAAAAAGCGGGAATTGATTAAAGGCTTGGCAGATGGCAGAGCTGTCAGTCAGACAGTAATTGGTAGTACAATCTTTTGCAAGCCACTTTTCCGTGCTTCGTGGCAGTGATTTTGATATTTGACAAGCATGTAGGTTGGAAGCAGATGAGAAAATTAACGGTCTCGGATTCAATGTCAATTGATTTTTCATACTCGCTTGATATTAGCTTTAATTTGTTAATGTGATCATGTAACAATTGAGGTGATCAAATAATTAAATAGTAGTCAAATACGTAGTATCACATAATCATGTTAAATAACTTTATCGTATAACACATCAATATCAATTAGTATTAAATTTGATAAAAACTAATTTTTCTTTATTAGAATTAAAAACTTATTTGAGTACTAATCAAAATTTAATGACCCATTTAGCTTAAGAAAAGGAGAAAAATTAATTGAAAAATGGTAATCGTACATGAACTTTTTTACTATTTAAGTTTTGCAAAAATATTTTTTTAACGCATTTTCTTAGCTAAATTTAAGGATGTACAATATATTAATTAAAAATCTTTTTATAAATATCATTAAAATAATGGCATCGATTAACATTCCTCATTAGATTAAATAGTATCATTTCAGACCTACCAAAACCTGCCTCTCATACTAAATATGCCAAGAGAAATGTATTAATTTATCTCTACAAATGTTCATTTTTGTTTTATGCTAAACAACTTGTTTCCTTCCTTTCTTAATTCAAGAACTATTCAACCCAAATACTGGATGAGTTCGCTTGTTGACTTCTTGTTATGTTATGCATGAATAGCGTAGGAAGAGTTGACACTTTTTTGACTCCTATGGTGAAGCTAATATTTTAGAATTAATACTTTTGGGGGGTTGAAGTGATCAAAACATAAACCAAAACGTCATATTTTAACTGGAAATACATTATTGGCCTTCATAAAATGCTACAAATTGTTTCAAAATTTTCCTACTTGGTTCTTATGAAAAGAATAATGAGAATATGAACTGACAGCTTACCCTAAACCGCACTTTTCTTAACTTAAAAATTGTCACGACTCAAACTTAGGGATTATGATTGATGCAATGAGTCCCGAGCAAGTCTCAAAATACGGAATTATTGAATAACAAATAATATGACACAACATATGTCCAAACTAAATATACACAATGGCTCACTTAAATATCATGTGTTTAAATCTTTTCACAAACAAATGCACCATGGCACGTCTTTCAACATGTCATTGTGGTAAAGCAGAAACAAAAGTGCAATTATGCACCACATGTAGAAGATGCTATAACTTGGCTAACATGATGAGTCCAAGCTCGTACAACAACTGAACAGAATCAAATGGCAACTCCATGCCTACAAACCAAAAGCAAATTGAGACCAAGACTATAACTAAAACCGAACAAAACTAAAATAGAACCAGCGGAATGGACTTATTGGATTGGAGGTGCCTACCAGATGTCAAAAAGTCCGTCTATTAAACAAACGCTAACCCTTGGCTTCCTAAGCAGGGATCTCAAAGGAGCTATTATTTGCACAAGGCAACCATTAATTGAGATGTGCCTTTCGTAACTCAGTAAGTGAGCGTAGAAAGGAAACAAGTTAAATACGGGAGAGTTTTTATATAAAAATAGATAATTCAAAAGTACACAATGTAAATCAAACTTATAGACAAAAGCAGAACAGTATACATTAAACATGAGATGTGCAAATCGAAACAAAGCAATTATGGCATACTTAAGCCAATTCAAGTATCAAATAAGGAGTAACTTTAAAGTCCATCTCATATGCAAATTTTATATGCATACAGCTTGTAAACCAAATGTACAGAAATAAGGCACGCTCAACCAAGGTAATGCCACATAAGGGTTGGCTTAAAACCCATCATATTACCCACATTTACCCAAGTAAGGGTTTCAAATCATAACAGAGTTCATCAAAATTAAATTGAGGTCTTTTACCCCTACAAGTCAAATTTTATTCGAGTATCAAATGCTCTCATTGACTAACTTCCTTTATTAACCATATTGCCTCACTTAGGCACAAGTCAAATGTAATCTCAATCCAAACCAGAAATATTAAGGGTAGAACATGTATAAATCTAACAGAGACTGTTAAGAAGAAACAAATTATATTTCAACCAAGCGTACAGCCTAACGCATAATCAAGTCAATATAAATGTCTCGGAAGTCCATCTTACTGCCCAATATACACACCAAGGGCCCTCGAAGTTTTCAAATCTTACCAAAACAAATTCGGGGTTCTATCCCACCAACGGATTTCATTTAAGTATCATGCATACATATTAATTAATAAGCTTCATCAAACTAATGCCCCATCTAACTCAATAAACAAGATCAAATTTTCTTCCCAAATCAGAATACAGAGCTCCCTCTTTGGGGCTTCACCAAGCAACACATTATTTAACTCATTACCTTTCATGATCTACAATCACATCTAATTTAGTGAGGTACAAGCTTCTCACTAAACATGGCCAATTTGAACTTACCTTAGCGCCATTTCAAATGCCAAATACCCATAAGTTCATGTAGACATAATAAAACAGAATTTAGCACAATAATTCACCATGGGCAGATTTCATCATTTATATCAGATGCATTGGGAACTTACCTTTTCTTTTGCTGTATAGAAATCCCGATTTGAACAAATTGCCAAATTGTGGCATGACAAATATTGGACTTAAAGCAAGGCTTGGATCTTTAACTAAACTCCAAATATAGTAGCCCTTTTACTAGAGCCTTTCCAAGATTTATTATTTCTAACTCCTTTGTCTTGAAGAATTAAATTTATAGTGACGTAACGTGCGGGATCGAGAACCAGACCACTCGACGCGAGAAAACACTTAAGAGTCACCACCAATCATTATCTAGGTGTGATTGGTCACCTATTGACTGAATTCTAAGAGATGGGGTCTTAAATTGATTTTAAGTTCATCGAGAGAATTTTAAACTAATTTATAATTTTGAAGACTGGGCTCGGGAGTACGGTTATGCCCAAAGAAGGATTAGCACCTTCATGATATCTGTTCCGCAAACAATACCATTTGATTATAGATTATCCTATTGGAGCCTTACTTCCTAAATTTATTATGTTTCCTTAGTTATTATTCATTTATTTTATCCTTTATTTTATTAAAATATTTTATTTAACTTTATGGGTGTGATATGAACATGATGCATTTGTGAAATGTATGGTAGAAATTTCAAATAATGTCGTATGAATAACCTTTTATTGAGGATGTTTCCAGATCCGCCATCATACTGGTGGGATCCGAGGATATTCTCTCACTTAGAGAATTACCCGAGAAATTTACTTTTGCAAATTTGACAAATAAATCCCATCTTCGGGGTTATCGTACGCATTTTAGAAAAAATTATGTTTTCACGAATATAAACCTATTACAAGCAAAAGCTTTTTTATTAAATATATTCACCGAGTCCTCCCATCGTATTGGTGGGACTCGGGGACATCCTTTCATATAAAAAACTTTCCAAAGGAAACTCGCCTTTGCAAGATTTTTCGAAAAATTCCATCATCGAGACTTATACTTGTATCCATAAGTATCTATATGGCATGACATTTACAATGCAATAATGATCCATGCTATGTTTAAGAAATTCATTATTTTATTTCTAAGTCCTTACTGGCATTGGGCAAAACACCTTATGCAACCCATATATGTATGCACATTTCGTAAACTCAACAATATTTCATCAAACAAAGACAACAATGCTCAATGAGCCATCATAATGTAGACATAATGATGCTTGATAGACTACCATAATGCAAGAACATTAACACATTATAGAAGCAATTGTGTTCATGGAATTAATAACAAGCAGAACAACAAGTTAATGGGCCCTATACCTCAACAAAGAGAAAATCACGAGCAATAGCCATTATAGGGCTCATCACAAATCAAATAAAAACTATAGAAAACCATTAAGGATTTTAAAATGTCTTTAAGGGGCTTGTTTCCCATTTTCAAATTGTGTATATATAACTTTTATACATATACATGAAAACCTTTTTTAAAAAATCAGAATCATTGCTCAGACATAATCAAAATTCCAATCTCATAATCAAGCAGTGGCCTAGGTGTAAGACTTCTAAGCTAACATTTCAAAATTTCACATTTGGTGTTAACATATAGATAAATACATACAGAAACTTAATTATTTATTTTATCTCAAAAGAATGCCCCACTCACAAT